TTGACCTCGTTGGAAGAAATCAGTACACTGATGCTGTAATTGGGCTTGATCTCTCAAGTATAAATCATATACACTGATTCTATACTGAATTGACCCCACGAGAATAAAATGTGTACATTGATTTTGTAATCTGACTTGACCTCGCTGGAATAAAACGAGTACGCTAATTCTGTAATCGGAATAGATATCTCAAGTATGAATCTAATTCAACGATTCTGTACTCGGCATTGACATCGCGGTTATAAGTGGAGTACATTGATTTTATAATCAGGCTTGACCCCGCAAGAATGAATCGAGTACACTGATTCTATACGCAAAATTGAACCCGCTAGAATAAAACGTGTACATTGATTCTGTAATCGGAATTAAGCACACTGGTATAAATCGAGTTGACTGATTCTGTACTCGGAATTGACATCGCGGGAATAAATCGAGTACAACATATTCGGTAATCGGAATTGTCCTCACAAGAATAAATCAAGTACACTTATTCTATACGCGAGCTTGGCCTCGTGAGAATAAAAGTAGTAAATTGTTTTTGTAATAAAATTGGACTTGTACTCGGAATTGTCTTCGCAAGAATAAAACGAGTACATTGATTCCGTAATCGGAATATAGATCGTGAGAATAAATCGAGTACACTGATTCTGTACTCGGAATTGACGTCACGGGAATAAATCGATCCAACTGACTCTGTACTCTGTCTTGTTCTCGCAGGAATATATCAAGTGCACTAATTCTGAACTCGGATTTGACATCGCGAGAATAAGTCGAGAACACCGATTCTGTACCTCGCACATCAGCGGTTTAAATGATTAGTTTTCTACGGTTTATCCGCATTTTGCAGTTTATTTAAAGGTAGAAATATTTTTTAGGTTGCAGGAATCTAATTCTAGTTCCCAATTTATGGCTGTTACCTTTTTTTAAGCCTTGTTCTTGCATTTGCATGTATTGCTTCCTATTATTCGTTAAAGGTACAGCATATATAGCTTTCTATTCGTCAGTTTTGTCTGATTCACCAAAATCTTGATGCGTTCCTACCAGCCTACATCGAAAATAAATGCATATCTCTTTTGAGTTGTCCTTTGCGTAATCATGTACATGCTCGTTCGCTTGTGTTAGCATTTTTTTTACCTTTCACCTGTCCGTGTTCAAATCTTTTCCATTGCTACCTATCTTCTGACAGGCAACGAGGGAAAAATATATGTTTTCTAATATATTGTGATGATTCGAGCGATTCTCATATAATTAGTATTATTATTCTTTGAGAACTATTAAAAACATCAAATTGATTATAGATGTCAGTCGGTGTTGGAATAAAAAAAAAGCTGAAAAATGTCTATGATAACTTTGAACAGAATCAATAATGGGAAAGCCGACTGAGAAGACTTGATCTATCTTCAAAATAAATTTGTTACTGTTGCATCGGCTTATAATTTGATCAATGTCCTTCTTTGAGATCAGTTACCAATTTATAAGTAAATTGGCATTATTATTATGATTATTATTACATATTTTTCGGTTGTTTTTATTATAAGTATACTCATCCATTTCTTGTACACATTATATATTATTCCTATAATTTTTCCCAGAAGATTCTACAGCATAATAATCATTTCAATGAATTTCTTTACACACACACACACACACACACACACAAAATATATATATATATATATATATATATATATATATATATATATATATATAGTATTTGCTTTTCAAAATATATTTAAATCACAAACATCTATATATACCCAGATAAAATGAGAACAAATATAATATAAATTCCACAGTCTGTAACATTTAATTTAAAAAAGGGCTCAATATAGATTAGATAAATAGTATTTATTTTAGGATATTAAAACAAAAACATGACTTGTCAATAGTTTACCATCGCCTGAGGAGACACATTTGTAGTGTTGAAATATAATTGCAATAGTGTAGCGATTTTAACAAAGTTTTTTATTTCAATATCCTTATATATATATATATATATATATATATATATATATATATATATATATATATATATATATATAGGATCTTGAATAAGTTCTCAGTGTTTTCCAAAAAGATGCCGTTCACATAACTGCGTGCATGTATTTTCAGATGGAAACGCATCTATGAGGAAGTTCAATAAGAATGTTTGAATTTCAGTATATGTCATTTCGCCGAAGTGTAAACATCTTTGTATTTCATAGTGTTAAATATGTCGGATTTCGTACCAAAGGAAGGCTATTTGGTGGGGATTTTATTGTACTACATTATTCAAAATGAATCTGCAGTTGAAGCACACAGAATTCTTGTTGTGACTTACGGCGACTATGTTCTGTCGGAAACAACATGCAGAGATTGGTTTAGGTGCTTTAGACATAATGATTTTGATGTTGAACGTATAATTATATATATATACATATATACATATATATATATATATATATATATGTGTGTGTGTGTGTGTGTGTGTGTGTTTGTGTGTGTGTGTGTGTAATATGATTTTTTTTTGATTTTTTTTAAAATATGATTCCACCGCAACATAGAAAATTTCTATGTTGCAAAACCGAAATTAAAACTGAAAATTTTAGTTTCAGTTTTTAAACTGTCTGATACCAAATCGGTCGAGTTTCCGGCTTGAAGTGAACGGATGTCTAGCCACATTGATGAGCAGTGATGCAGCGAAACAGTCTGTTTGTGTATGGTGATATTAGCTCTCGATAAAATAATTTAATCAGTTGAGCACTGTGAGGTGTAACGAATTTGTAAACAGTCAAATTACTTCTGATAATGAAAGACTTTGTTTATGGAAAAAATAAATATGCAAAAACTCTCTCCCAGGCTTCGATGGCCTAGGGGTTAGAATCTCCGACAGATATCGAACCAGACGGGTTTCGGTCCTCGCCTGAAGTGATTGGATGTCTATCCACACAGATGAGCTGTGATAAAGCGAAACAGTCTGTCTGTGGAAGGCGATATATATATATATATATATATATATATATATATATATATATATATATATATATATAAATTGATTTAAAATATGTTTTTAACGCTACACAGTTCTAACCATGTTTCAAATATATATGTATGTATATATATATATAGAGAGAGAAAGACGATGATCAACCAAAGTTGAAAAATAATTTCCAAGACACTGATGGATTTCTATTTTTTAAGCTGGCAGATTTTATTACTTAAAGTTTATTTTTAGTGGATGCCTATATTTTATTTAATAAACCGTATTTTTGTTTTCTTCTACTGGCTTGAATTTTCGAGAATTTTATTAAAGAAAAATATGAGTTCTCAGGCAAGATTCTAACCTTCGTCCCCTTCGATAAGAGAAACTATCGCTAGATCCAACGTGCTTTATGCCGTATCGGCAAGCAAAGTTGGGGCTTATAAATGCTAATCTTTTTCAGACTCTCCAAACAGTCATATTGTAAAATTTCGTATGTTTACATAATCAAAGAAATTGATTTGTTTACCTATAAAAAAAACTGAGTAGATACGAATGCCTCGAGAGTCAGAAATATTTGTTTCGTTTTTGATTTTTCCTTTCCAAACCGAATAAACACAAGAAGATTGACCATATTTTGTCGGATTTTGTCTAATTTTATCAGATCGTCACAACCATATATCCCCAAGGTGTTTGACCATTTTTTATCGGATCCCAGGCAGAAGCCAAATTTAGGATAGTATTTCTCCAAGCCAACAATATTTGTCTAATTTTATAAGATCGTCACAAGCTAATTTACTCAACTCTTCACATCCATTTTTAAATCTTGTACATAACTTTGTAACTAAGATTATTTCATATATATATATATATATATATATATATATATATATAATAATTTATTTGAAAATTATAACATAAATATGTTATAAGATCACTACAAATATAGCCATTTTGTCTCAACACCCTATGGTGTTTTATCAAGTGATGTTGTTGAATATAGAATAAAAGGTTTTAAAAGGTTAAAATCAATTAATCGTCCCTTGCAAGGGGAAACGCTGTTGCATAAGCTGGATTGACCAATCAAAATACAAGTATAAGAGAATTTAAAAAAAAACTTGACAACGAACTAATGTTATAATAATTACTTAATGCTTTAATGTTAGGGTTAGGCTAAAATAGAATTTATTCCAACCAATAAATATTAAATTATAAGATAACATTTGAAATTAAAAATTACCCATTTTAAAATTTAAATTTAATCTATATTAAGTTTAAAATTATAAAATTACTGTGGAAAAAAGAAAAAATACGTATATTATTCTATTTATTTTGTTTTTATTGAAATTAAATTGGAATAAACGTTAAGATCAAATGTTGCTCTGAACTTCATAACAACATAGATACATTTGAAGCATAAACAGAGGCAGGAGATGATGACATCTTGCAAAAGACAATATATACACAATCAAATTATAATGCATAAACACGCAGACGTATTTAGATATATACATACACAAAAAAGCGTCGACACAGGAAATATCTACACGAGACTTAAAACAAACAAAAAAACCCCAAAAAATATTAAACAATATACGGACAAGACAGTGATGATAGTCTGTCAATGATCATCTATGTAAACATTGACAGACTATCATTGTTTAATATGTTGTAATTGACATCTTTGATAATGGCTTAAGCAAGCCGAAAGCTTAGATTGTATTAAAAAAATATGGATCACTATTGTGAATTTCTTTCTTCGTTCAACGATAATGTTATTAAACTTATCAGATGTTATGAAAAAAAATTACATAAAATAAATAGACAACACTTGTCTATATTATTTAATGAAACGTGTATGAATGAAAAGATGCTACCTAAATACACACAATATATATATATATATATATATATATATATATATATATATATATATATATATATATATATATTGATAGTTATTTTTTTTCACTTGACTATTGCGACCAAGCTAATTGTGTCCTTTTCTTCAGCTGCTAGTGACCAATCACGCACATCCAAGATTACAGAACTTGGTATTCCCCAACGTTCACCCATCTTTGTGCTGACGAGGTTCAACATTGCTTAACTTCGTTGATCGGACGAGAACCGGTGTTTCAAGATGTTGGGGTGCACCCACCTTCTAACTAGAAATGGACTGCTCCCTCTTATATAAGTCAGCTCTAGAGAGAGGACGAGAGCGTCAGCAGTCCAGATAAGGTTACCCGTTACATACCGTTGGACTATAGACTTTGGATATTGTTTCTTACTAACCAACCTTCGTTCTACTAATCACTCTATTGTTAATTGCTTTTACAAATATACCAGTATTTTCCCCTACAACTGTGTTTGTCTTGATTCATACGCCCACACGCGGGAAGCTCACAACATCTCAACACAAGGTGATATGGCCTTAAGCCTCCGCCCCCTGAAAAGAACTCATATTTAACAAATCCCCCCGAAGTGGATTTATATTCAAGGAATACATTTTATCAAAATCAATATAAATTGGATATGAAAGCGATTTAAGGGTTATCGGCTCAACACAGGAATTTGGTTTGCCAATTCGGATTCCGACAACGTTTCTTACATTCATTTTCGCGCAATCATCTTGTTTGTTTTGTTTTGTTTTACGGTATATTAACTTCGGTGGGATATTTAATGCTGACAAGATTTTTATTGTTGGAAATACATTTTGCTTTCCAAAAATGTATTGCTGGAAATATTTTTTTCCAAAAAGTATCGCTGGCATTAAAACCTATTTTCACATTTTCATAATGTCTTGACCCCTTTTGGGTGTTAACTATTTGCCCATAGCTGGGAAGATGTCAGGCGCTACCTCCCCGAGTCAAGTTGAATCTGAGATCATCAAAAATTAAGATTTGGTCACATGCTCCTCAAAACTTCCTAATCAAAGACCTTGCTGTCGGGTATAGTTTATCGTCTTATCCGGGACGCGGATATAGTTTATCGTCTTACACAGGACGTGTATGTAGTTTATCGTTTTACACAGAATGCGCGCAATTAGCTTTATGAAAGTTATGGCTCTTTCTCTTCTAACCCCATCAGTGGGATTGACAGCAAGGCAGCCGGGGCTCTCTAATCATAGCAGGCAGCCAGTATGACCGAATTCAAAAACTTATGCAGCCTTGGCGCAACGCCTATTCAGCAGCTATCGACAAGATCATACTGTACATTCTCATTTTCCTTATTTTATGTTATATCACTCTACGAATGTTACTCGTACGATGTAACATGGTGAATTTATCGGCGACTAAGCCGGTGCTCCTACAAGGCCTTTTTTCTGGTGAACAGGATGACTAGACGTCGAGCAGGATTAAAAGGATGAAGGTGAATTTGCCCAACGAAATAATTCCCACTGTCAAAAATTGATTTCGAACTATCTTCCGGCTCAACGAATTTTTACGGTTATCCTTAGCGCTTCCGTTTCCGGTGTCATCTGTATCAGAGAATCTGTCTGTGACATTGCACGTACTTTCGGCGAATTAATCGACATAGTGACAATACATCTTTTTTTTTAAGCAATTCATCCGAAGTTAGGCGCTAATGCCACTCAGACTTAAAGCGTTACTGGGAGCGAAAGAGAATGAGAAAACCTTAAAACAAACCGGAAGTTCAATAACATTTCAAAGTTTTAGTACAGAGTTTAAGAAGACTTTAGGTAGAAATGGAAACGAATCCTAACCAGAAAAGAGGGGGTAAACTTCTACTCATGTTCAAAAAACTGGAAGGGGTGTAAACTGAGCGATATGCGAACCTATCTACTCCTATTATCGTTTGATGTCATTTTTTGTTTCTATGTCTCTTCCAACTTTTAAAAATTCTCTTCTTGTCTCTTTCTCGCCTGTCATGACACTCGTAGGATTCGTCCATTAATTTTCAAAATAGATTTATATAACCGACTTCATTCCACTTAAATATAATCGAGAAACAGATGATTGATTGATTATCGTCTACTGGAATTAGTTCAAAACAGGCACCACGAGAGGAAACATGTAGCAACGTCTATTCCTTCATCTGTTTACAGGCTGCTTTCCAGTTTTGACAACAGATCAGGTTGAAGTCTCAAATTTTGTTTCGATTTATTCGCGAAGACTGTAAGCATCCGTTTATCTCGCGATATAATTATAGGGCCGTTCGGCCAAATTTCACTCCTTTGAACTGGAAATTGGAAATACTTCTGCAGAACGCTGGCCTGTACGATGTCATATGAAAGCCGTACGCTACCCAGACCACTTTGTTTCCCTGGTCATCGGCGACTAAATCGGCTCTCCAACAAGTCTTTTTTTTCTGGTGAATCTAATAACCAGACACCGAGCAGAATTAATAGCAAAATATGTTAAAGTTTCGATGAAGAAATATCCCCGAGAAAAAAATTCCAGGAATGAAAATTACTTCGACATTTGGGACCGGCTTGTCTGTAGGGGGTTCCCGAATCCTTGTCACAGATGACAGATACTACTCTTTGGTTGAAACCAAAACGCTGACAAGCGATCGTATTTTATATATGATATGATACAAGGTTAGTTTAATGCTGGGTGATATTTGGCGTTAGCTCTTAGGAGTCTCGATATTGTCATGTGCGTCTAATCATTGATATCTGACCATCTTTTGCGTTAACGTCCCCGCTTGCATCGACCTTCCTTGCATTATGGTCTGACAGGGTTTGTTATGCCGTGTGATGTGTGCCAAACAGTGACTTCTTCCGTCGCTTAATATTGATGAGGAGAGATTCCTGTTGGCCCACGAAACCTTTGACCTTGCTCTGTGCATAGTCATTGGTTTTGTGTTCCCTGTAGAAGATGCGGAGGAGCTTTATCAAACATTTGTTCTCGAACACATGGATCATTTTTCCTGTCTCAACCAGAAGTGCCCAAGTCTCACACCCGTACAGGAGGATAGATACGACTAGCAATATGTAGATCTTGAGCTTGGTATGTGTTATATACTGTATCTATGAACACTAATGAGTATGCACCAATCCTCATAAATACGTTGGACACTACTTTAAGTGGGGGTAATATGCTGTCTAAGTAGTCCGCCACTAGCAGTGGTTTACCTACTTCACGCCACTGGCAAGTATTGTATTTTGTTGATGTTATAATGTTTATCATTTCATTTACAACCTCCGTTTTGGTTATTCCTCATTTCGTAACCCTCCCAAGGTTACAAAAGTATGTAAACTGATGTTGCTCGTCCATATTCTTTCCGGGCTGGCCACTGCTGCTATGGCTGTGGTGATTTTTTCAGATCCAGTGATTTGCTGGTTTGACAAGTCAGTCAAGACCATAGTTGTAATCTATAAAGAATCAGTTGCGAACGCCATTTGTCTAGCAGTAGACGCATAATTGTGGATGTGCGGTGACGTAATGCATTGCGTTACGGAGTGAGAAATTGGAGAGCCGAGTTCGAATTTCAGTCTAGTTCTTTACATTCACTTGCGTGCTTGGGAACGCTATGAATTCGTCTCTTTCTACCTGCAAACATTGGTATATATATATATGTTGTGGTAGGATCCACCTAATTTGCATAGTGGAGTACCGATCCTTATAAATATGGTTGGTACCGGGAAGACGAGGGAAGGAATCAAGAGATTCAATCCAGAGACTCTGCCCGACTGCGACTAAGTCAACACATTCTCCAGGGTCGGTCTTCCCAAGAGTATACAAAAGACTATATGTAAATATTGTGTACACTTTCTTGTTTCAATACATTTTGTTCTAAGTACATTTTGTGTTGTATTATTATTCCATGCATTAGTCAAGTTTCAACAATATTCCTGGGCCATACTCAGTCGAAAAGAAAAACTCAGAATTCAAACCAGCCTGAAGTTTGGTCTCTGTGCGGCTATTTTACATAAGAGACATCACTGCTGTTAGAGCTGTAGTACATATATTGCTCTTACGATTCTGTTTGGTTACGGGATACGTGATCATGATACGCGTAAGGGCTTATTCTGATACATTATTTTGGGATAATAAGTTAAAAAGTAAATATAAATTATTTACCATATTTATATGCATACTAAACGTTCTAATCACTGATGTTGTTATCATAACTTTTCGACAGATGCGCTCTGCGGTCTTCTTCAGGTGTCTGTTGATCCGGCTAACGTTCATAGTATTTCGAAGTGAACCCTGTATTTTAACTGCTTGTTATGGCAAAATTCTTGAAGGGATCAGGCCTATAATAAAGAACAATCGTGTCTGTATATTTTTCTGAAAGTGTTGCATGAATCTTCGCGAGTCTTTTAAGAAAATTGCTTGAATTAAAATTTTATTTAAAAAAAAATATTTTCGTTTTATTGAATTTACTAATGTTAACGGCATGTGAGAAATCAATTTTCTCATATCTTTATACTAACTGAATTTTCATATCAAATAATGCCTGAATAAAACTATAATAAAATTTCGTAGCTTTATTAAATTACACGGAAATAATTAATATTTGTTTCTTTCCAGTTTCCATTTATGCAATGTTATTGTAATCGGTTCAATTGTCAGGCTTATTTTAAATAAGGTATTTGCTTGTTTACACGTAATCATTATTATATTTCAAATCGTTATAACAAGTGCAAGCTAAAACGATGTTCATATTTTAAAATCAATGAGTTGGATGTTAAAATGTGTTATTTTGCTGCCAAATTTTCATTCGATAGGACACAAGATTTTAAGGAAAACCCGCGACAAACTTGCTAGTTAGAAACGGTGTGGTTAATTCTTTTAAATTTAAGAGTTGATATATATATATATATATATATATATATATATATATATATATATATATATATATATATATATATATATATATCTTATATATTATTACTCCATAATATTGATGATCATTATTTCATGGTAAAATTAAAATGAAATTAAATTCCATAGAATTTCAAATCAATCATGTAAACAAGAAAGCTGAAAAAATTTAGATCATCACAGTAATTTTTTTTTTTGATCTTTCGTCTTAACCTGATAGATTTTAAAATCCTTGTAATTTAATTTCAATTTTAATTTTCGAAGAAGGAATGATCATTATGTATATTATGGAGTAATCATATTTCCTATTGTTTACAATTTATATGCTCTTTCTGTGAATCAGTT